GAGTCTCAGGCTGGCGGGTCCGCCATGTCCTGTGTTGCACCGTTTGCTGGGACTCAATAGCCAGCTGTGGTGCTTGAACAGCTAAGGGAACCTCGTCTAGCGGCGACGTAGGAGGCCCATACGGAACAATAGGCACAGAAGCCCACGGAATGTCCGGTGGCGTGCCCAGGGTGGCTACCCGGTCCTGCGAGCCTGAAAAAAAGAAAGACGGTCTTGTCAAACCGGACGTGCTGGCAGATACAGGTTTTCCCAGTATTTGGATCCATTCACCGGTAACCCCTATAAGACGTAGGATATCCTAAGAAGATACAGGGTGCAGAGCGATATTCTATCTTGTGACGATTGTAGGGCAGCAGATAAGGACAACACCTGCACCTGAAGACACAGAAGAAATTGTATGGTGGAGTTTTTTTATAGATAGACTCATATGGACTTACAAATTTTAACGCTGACGACGGAAGACAGTTTATGAGATAGGTTGCTATTTCAAACGCGTAATCCCAGTATTTAACCATAACTGAACTTTGGTCCAGGAGAGCCAGACCGGTTTCCACAATATGTCTGTTCCGGCGCTCTACCCGCCCGTTTTGCTCATGTGTATAGGCACAAGACTGCTTATGCACGATACCGTGTGAAAGGAAAATTGTAACACCCCCGATTTGCATACTAATTAAAAGATTAATCATGCAGATAATTCTAACCATAAAAGCATACACAGCGGAAGACTTAAACATGAAATAGATGAAAAACGTAGAGTGCTATGCCACGCTCACCCAACGGTGAACGCACAGGCGTAAATAACTGCAACATAATCTATCAATCCAAAGATAAAGTCAACAACCACAAGTCTAGAGTCCAACAAAGGCACGCAGGCCCAAACCAACACAAGGTTCAAGGGATCTATACTAATTGTCTCTAGACCGCGCTCTCATCTACTCAGCACCTCAAAGAAACACATAAATATATGGGACGACGCCCGGTCAGCGAATGATGCTGGTAACCCACCAATACATGTGAAATATCATAAGTAGATAGGATATATATATATATACAAAATCATTTGCGAAATGGGATATAGTATATATCAATCTCAAAGCCAAGATAGAAGTCAAACACAAGACTCTTTGCACTCACAATAAAGATAATGGAACACATCCCGAGACCACAAGAAATACCACGACACACAAGAACGGCTCAAGGCGTAATCTACCATCACACAGTAGATTATCACCTGACATGCATAACACAAGAGAATAAGGACACAACCATTGGCAACACATGCCTTTGTGATAACACATGTCACAAATAGAGAATCACACACAATGGCTACACAACCTTTGTGACATCACCCATCACGAATTAAGATGCCTTCCTTATGCCAGGTTCCAACCTTATGGCTACCCCCAACCTTATATCTAGTTCTAACCTTTACCTCCAGGACCCCTGTACACCATGTCCAACCTTATTCCCCCGAGGACCGTCGTCCCCACTCCGACAATCTCCAACAATACCACCGATTTCATAGTACACGAGGGTACCAATCACACATGGCAACACATGCCTTGGTAACACATGTTACCCTTAACAAATACGTGATCCATACACAAAGGTCACAAACTCCATAATCGCGTCATGGCCACCACGAGGACCACTGCCGTACCTTGGTGACTAATGTCCAATACCATTAATCGTGCAATCTAGGTACAACCACACACACAACACCATCATAGGAATCAATCAACGGATCACAATGAAGATATGAAACCATACTCAATCAAGGAAAGGATCACAATCCGACTCCAACGATGATTAACACAAGTCATCATCCACAATAGGAAAGGAAAAACAATGCACACGCTAGCATTTAAACACTGAACTAGCATGCTTATCAAACAGGTAAACCAAACATAGTTCCGAAGAACACACAAGACTCACCATGGTTCAACGAATCACAAGGTTGAACACTTAGCACGATTCAAGACACCAAAACCTACAGGGAATCATACCATATAGTTCTAAACATACGAAATATCAAGAAGACACTCAAATAGTTCCACAAAAGAACATCGGGAAGTCAAAAGAACAAATACCGAGTCAAAGGAATCACGGGGAACAAATCCCCGCCCAAGTCCACTTTGTACCCCGCGAGTGGGCCCACGGGTGGACCCCCACCCGTGGTACCGCCCACGGGTACCACACCCACTCTTCAGCGTTCCCCGCGGGTGGAGCGGCGGGTAGGCCACTGCCCGCCGTTCCGCCCGCGGGTACATCAACGGGTACCAAAACTTCCCTTCGGGGATTTTCAACACCAAGCTCAAATTCAAGTCCAAAATATGCCAAATCTCACCAACTACAACAAAATGACTTGAATCAAAGGAATAGCCAAGCAATGGAATACAAGAACCCTAATAACAAGCTCTAGATATGCATTTTCACAAGACAATGCATCAACACTCACATTTCATAGCAAAATCACATGTAGAATCCAAGAAATCATCATATAGGTAAGCAAAATAAATTTTGTAGAGCATGGGTTACCTCTTGAAGATTTAACCTTCACTTAAAACACTTCACAAGCTCCTAACAAGGTTCCTTTTCCACACCCACTTTAAGAATACACCAAAAGATCATAAAGATTTCACCTTTAGAAAAAGATACCTTAGAAAACACTAAAAACACAAAAGGAGCTTAGATCTTACCCTCCTAGAACCACAAGAGTAGGAAAGGTGGAATCTTGGAGACAAACTTGGAAGATCTTGATAGCCCTAGATTTAGCTTGGAGAGTGTTTGGAAAGAAATGAAATGTGTCTCTTAGGTTAGCTTGGAAGACTATTACAAGGGAAATGTCTTCTTTACCCTTACTAAGATGAAAAATGTAAGGGAACAAGGAAACCATTCACAAAGCTCAAGGTACAACACTTGGCTTTGGGTTGACTAGTCAATTACTAGTCCCTGAATATTGAATTTTCAGGAAATTAAAGAATTAAATTACCAATTGAATTAGGATTAATTACTTAATTAATCTCTTAATTGAATTTGAATTACGGGGTGTCACAAAAATTGCGGGCAGGCGGCGATATTCGCCCCCGAGGTCAGATTGAATAACTTTGATAAAACGCGAAAATTGGCGTTCTACCATCACACGAAAAGAGTCAAAGCATTTATAGATGTCTGATTTTAACCGTAATGGGTAAAACCATCCAAAACGGGAGTAATCATCTACAAATAAAAGGAAATAACGAAAACCCCCGGTAGAAATAACGGGTGCCGTTCCCCAAGTATCGCTGTACACTAAATCGAGTACATTATTACTAGAATCATAAACTCTATCTAATGGGAAACGGGATGATTTCCAAGCTGACATGATGAACACATTTGGGACGAACTCAATTTTTTTGAGGTGACCGGACAATCCTGTAGAACACGCTCTCGGACTCGTGCATGAGGATGACCAAGCCGACGATGCCAAACATCCGCCGACGCCCGAGCCATAATATACGCACCATGTGACCGAGACAATGACAGCTTGTACAAACCCCCCGTGCTAGGACCTTTAAGGGACACCATTTTGGTTTTGCAATCCTTCACAACAAAATAGTCATGGTGAAAATCAAAAAATACATTGTTATCGGCAGTGAACCGATTAACAGATAATAACGGAAGTGAAAGATTAGGGACATGCAAAATATCAGATAAACGAAGAGATCTAGACGCGGAATACAATGATGCATGACCAATAGCAGAAATCCCCAAACCTGAACCGTTGCCTACACGCAACACATCGCTACCAACATAAGGCTCGGAGTGCGCCATCATGGTCGGATCCGGCGTGGCGTGAGACGATACCTCGGTGTCCAGGAACTACGCATCAGCCGTGATTGCCGCCTCATCTCCGGTGACTGCCGAATGGACCTACGGCGGTGGATGACCAGAGTAGCGCTGCCGGCAGTACATAGTTGTGTGACCATGCGTCCGGCATATCTGACAATGAGGACCGCTGCCGCCACGTCCCCTGCCTTGACCACCGCGTCCACGGCCGCCGCCACGACCACGGCCCTGCGAGTAGTTCGACTGTCGATTGCCACCACCTCCTTCATGGTTCTGCCGGTAGCCTTTGCCCGCCATCATCGCCGTATAAGCGCCGCCGGAAGGAGTGAATTCGTCCGCCCAAATGAACTCCTGTGACTGAAGAAAGTCAGCGAGTTGCGGGATGGATACCGGAGCTCCGGTCGCTGATAGGGAGGACGCCATACTATGAAATTCCGAGCGTAGGCCGCGGAATACGAAGAGGTTTTGCTCGTCCAATGAGACCGGATGGCCGGCTAGCGCTAAGTGCTCTACCATAAGTTGTGCTCGCCCGAGATACTCGTCGGCGGTGCTGTCACCCTGCCGGAGGGACTGGAATTGCGCGAGCAGATTGAGGCACCTCGCCCTGGTCGACGAGCCTAAGATAATAGAATAGTTTGCGTAGATTGATTCATCCAACAGTTACACAGAGATAAAATAGACTCAGATGACTAGCCTAACTATCCCTATACATCAGCTAGTAATTACTGACTAAATCAAAGTCTAACTAAACTAATATAATGTTACATTTGATAATAATAATAATAATATAACATGTCTAACACACCCCCTCAAGCACAAGGTGGGGTAGTAAAAACATTGAGCTTGTCGCGCAAGGTGGTGAACCGAGCAGCAGGAAGAGGCTTCGTGAAGATATCTGCTAGCTGTTCTTTAGTTGAAATGAAGTTCACAAGGAAGTCCCCTGAGGCCACATTATCCCAAACAAAGTGATAGTCGATTTCCACATGTTTAGTTCTGGCGTGAAATACGGGATTTGCACACATATAGCTTCCACCGAGATTGTCGCACCATAACGTGGCTGGAGATCCAGAATGTAGCCCTAGTTCCCGCAGGAGAGATACGACTAACGTCACTTCATCCGCCACATCGGCAAAACCCTTGTACTCAGCTTCGGTAGACGAGCGTGCGACAGTTCACTGCTTGCGAGATACCCAGGAAATGAGGTTTGAACCGAGGTAGACAGCATAACCACTAGTAGATTTCCTGTCAATAGGACACCCAGCCCAATAAGAATCAGAGTTGGCATGAATGTCTGCAATAGGTGATGCCAAAAGCCGCAACCCGTGTGACAAAGTACCCTTAACATAGCGTAACACTCGCTTGAGTAGACCCCAGTGCTCATCAGTTGGCGCGTGCATGAACTGACATAGCCAGTTGACAACATAGGAAAGATCCTGCCGGGTGATGGTGAGATACTGAATAGCTCCCGCGAGTCGGCGATACTGAGAAGGCTTCTCGAAGGGTTCAATGGTTGGTGATGCGGCCTGAGTGAGAGCCGCAGGGGTCAATAGAGGTTTGCAGTCGGACATCCCCGCCCGACATAAGATATCATCCATATACCGGCACTGAGAGAGCACGAGACCGCCCTCAAAAGAAGCTGTTTCAATACCAAGAAAAAAGCTGGGAGTCCCTAAGTCACGAATCTTGAATGTCGTAGAGAGCTGACGAAGCAAAGAGGCAACAAGATCCGAGTCATTTCCGAGCATGATTATATCATCTACACAGACCAGTAAAAACACCTGGGAGTTATTAGCTTTGTAGTGAAACATCTGTTTTGGATGATATGAGACCAATAGTCAACAGGTAGTCATGGAGCCGCTTGAACCAGGCCCTCGGAGCTTGCTTTAAGCCATACAGAGACTGCTGAAGATGACACACATAATCAGGATGAGTCGGGTCTTCATAACCCGGCGGCTTACGCATGTAAACCGTCTACACTAAATGCCCATTGAGAAAGGTATTGTGGACTTCTAGCTGCCGTAGAGTCCAACCTTGCGAGACTACAAGAGAAAGAAGCAGGCGTACGTAGTCGGTTTGGCTACAGGACTAAATGTGTCGAAGAAATCCTCTCTGGCAACCTAGTTGAACCCTTTGGCCACCAAGCGAGCTTTATACCGCTCAACCGAACCATCCGCCTTGCGTTTGGTGCGGTAAACCCACTTGCAGTCAGACGTTCATCCCAAACTTAGGTGGAGTGAGACACCAGGTGTTATTATGCATGAGGGCAGTAAACTCTTGGTCCATGGCATCACTCCACTGCGGATGGCCAACCGCCTGAGTGTAGCAAGTTGGGTCCACAGAAGCTGTTAGAGCATGAAACTGCTCGGCCGTGCCACGTGTCATGTGGCGAAGACGCATAACATGTTCTCTGTCCTGAGTCTCAGGCTGCCGGGTCCACCGTGTCCTGGGTTGCACCGTTTGCTGGGACTCAATAGCCAGCTGTGGTGCTTGAAAAGCTAAGGGAACCTCGTATAGCGGCAACGTAGGAGGCCCATACGGAACAATTGGCATAGAAGCCCACGGAATGTCCGGTGGCGCGCCCAGGGTGGCTACTCGGTCCTACGAGCCTGAAAAAGGAAAGACGGTTTCATCAAACCGGACGTGCTAGCAGATAAAGGTTTTCCTAGTATTTGGATCCATGCACCGGTAACCCCTATAAGACGTAGGATATCCTAAAAAGATACAAGGTGCAGAGCGATACTCTATCTTGTGGCGATTGTAAGGCAGCAGATAAGGACAACACCTGCACCCGAAGACACGGAAGAAATTGTATGGTGGAGTTTTTTTATAGATAGACTCATAGGGACTTACAAATTTTAACGCTGACGACGAAAGACAGTTTATGAGATAGGTTGCGGTTTCAAACGCGTAATCCTAGTATTTAACCAGAACTGAACTTTGGGCCAGTAGAGCCAGACCAGTTTCTACAATATGTCTGTTTCGGCGCTCTACCCGCCCGTTTTGCTCATGTGTATAGGCACAAGACTGCCTATGCACAATACCGTGTGAAAGGAAAATTGCGTGCAGGCGGCGATATTCGCCCCCGAGGTCAGATTGAATAACTTTGATAAATCGCGAAAATTGGCGTTCTACCATAACACGAAAAGAGTCAAAGCATTTATAGATGTTTGATTTTAACCGTAATGGATAAAACCAGCAAAAACGGGAGTAATCATCTACAAATAAAGGGAAATAACGAAAACCCTCGGCAGAAACAACGGGTGCCGGGCCCCAAATATCAGTGTACACTAAATCCCCCAAATATCGGTGTACACTAAATCGAGTACATTATTGATAAAATCATAAACTCTATCTAATGGGAAACGGGAAGATTTCCCAAGCTGACATGACGAACACATTTGGGATGAACTCAATTTTTGTGAGGTGACCGGACAATCCTATAGAACACGCTCTTGGACTCGTGCATGAGGATGACCAAGCCGACGATGCCAAACATCCGCCGACGCCCAAGCCGTAATATACGCAACATGTGACCCCCCGTGCTAGGACCTTTAAGGAGCACCATTTTGGTTTTGCAATCCTTTACAACAAAATAGTTATGGTGAAATTCAAAAAATACATTGTTATCAGCAGTGAACCGATTAACAGATAATAACGGAAGTGAAAGATTTGGGACATGCAAAATATCTGATAAATGAAGAGATCCAGACGCGGAATACAATGATGCATAACCAATACCAGAAATCCCCAAACCTGAACCGTTGCCTAGGCGCAACACATCGCCACCAACATAAGGCTCGGAGTGCGCCTTCATGGTCGAATCCGGCGTGGCGTGAGACGATGCCCCGGTGTCCGGGAACCACGCATCAGTCGTGATTGCCGCCTCATCATCGGTGACTGCCGAATGGACCTGCAGCGGTGGATGACCGGAGTAGCGCTGCCGGCAGTACATAGCCGTGTGACCATGCGCCCGACATATCTGACAACGAGGACCGCCGCCGCCACGTCCCCTGCCTTGACCACCGTGTCCACCGCCGCCGCCACGACCACGGCCCTGCGAGTAGTTCAACTGCCGGTTGCCACCACCTCCGTATAAGCGCCGCGGGGAAGGAGTGAATTCGTCCGCCCAAATGAACTCCTGTGACGGAAGAAAGTCAGCGAGTTGTGGGATAGACACCAGAGCTCCGGTCGCTGATAGGGAGGACACCATACTGCGAAATTCCGGGCGTAGGCCGCGGAATACGTAGAGGTTTTGCTCGTCCAATGAGACCGGACGGCCAGTTAGCGCTAAGTCGTCTACCATAAGTTGTGCTCGCCCGAGATACTCGCCGGCGGTGTTGTCACCCTGCCGGAGGGACTAGAATTGCGCGAGCAGATTGAGGCACCTCGCCCTGGTCGACAAGCCTAAGATTAGAGAATAGTTTGCGTAGATTGATTCATCCAACAGTTACACAGAGATACAATAGACTCAGATGACTAGCCTTACTATCCCTATACATTAGCTAGCATTTACTGACTAAATCAAAGTCTAACTAAACTAATATAATGTTACATTTAATAATAATAATATAACATGTCTGGCAACTAAATGCTAGTTAATAGTTGATAATTGACTGTTTTAATTTTTTTGACTAGTTGATAATATTGACTGGTTATAGTAAAGTGTTTGATTCGTAAATTAATTATTTATTCTTTAAATAATTACATGTAAAATGACATATAAGGGTTTAAGTATATAAGTATATTGTGCTATTTGCGTAACTCTTAAATTACTTTTACAAGTTATTATTTTTTTTTATTGATCTTAATTATTTTTAACTATTATTATTTTATATTAGTAATGTCATAATTATAAAGAAATACTTTGTATTAAAACAAATCTAATCTAAAAACATAGTAAGTGTGGATGAAGGTTATACCCTTCATTAATGTTCGTTTTTTCAGTTAAGTTTTTTTATACATTATGTTATAAAAGTTGTACTTTACAATATTTTGGACAAACATACCCCTACCGTTATAACTTCTGTTATCTTTTCCACTATTGTTACCATACACATGCATCCATTATATATTTTCTTATATTCTTCTTCTTCAATAATAATAATAATAATAATAATAATAATAATAATAATAATAATAATAACAATAATAACAATAATAACAATAATAACAATAATAACAATAATAACAATAATAACAATAATAACAATAATAACAATAATAATAATAATAATAATAATAATAATAATAATAATAATAATAATAATAATATACACATTATATATTGGAGTTATATGTTAGTTATTTTATAAAATATAAATATCAAATTTATAAAAATATTTTACATTATTATTATTATTATTTACAATAATTTAAATATCTAAAATCTAAATAAATTTAAAATTTTAATATTAGGCAACTATTTTTTGCGCATCACGCATAAAAATACTAGTATATATATATATATATATATATATATATATATATATATATATATATATATATATATATATATATATATATATATATATATATATATATATATATATATATATATCCTTTTAAAATAAAAAAACAATAAACTAATATCATTAAGCTACTCAAATATTTTTTTTCATTTTCAACTTATTCACATTAATAAATGAACCCAAAAAAATACTAACAAAATACTCATTTTTATTATTTGATCTAAGTCAAAGAGTTAAAGTTTTCCAAACAAACCAAACTTAACTAATAAGCCCCGTGAATCTAAAAACTAATAAGCTCATTCCTAAACACGCAAACAATGCATTTATTATGAGGAAAAATAGGTGAGCACATATACCTAATAAGAAAGGTAAATGGAGATAACATTGCACATGTATGTATCATCGATGAAGTTTTGGCAGTCCAAAGAGGTCTCTGCAATATATATATATATATATATATATATATATATATATATATATATATATATATATATATATATATATATATATATATATATATATATATATCAGCTAAAATGCGGCCAAAGCTTAACGCGCGGTCGGTGTGGATGCACCATTAGGTATACAAAAACCCACCAATACTAGTGTTAAGAAACGCATTACAGTGAAACGCACCACAAAACGCACCACCCACAAAAAATGCATCATATCTCAGCAAAAACGCGTCAATAATATTAGGAAATGCACCACGATGAAATGCACCAATGTGAAGAAGGCCATAACTGCGAAAGTGAGGAAAAATATGAGCCTTTGATATGTCCAGATCACCGGCTAATAAAAAGAGCGTTTCTAATCTACACGACGCTATATTTTCTCCAGTAAACATCTACTGTCTTTCCATTTTGTTCAAATAATGAAAGGCACAAAATTGTCTCTTGGAAGGCACAACAGTGTATACTGGAAAGCATAACAATGTGCTCTGGAAGACTCAACAATGTGCACTCTAAGGCAAAATAATTAATATGTACTTCGAAGGTACAATAATGTGCTCTAGAAAACTCAACAATGTGCTTTGGAGGGCTCAACAATGAGTACTCTAAGGCAAAACAATATGTACTTCAAAGGCACAATAATATGATCTAGAAGGCACAACAATATGCTCTAGAAGGCTCAACAATGTACTTTGGAAGGTCAACAATGTGCATTGAAAGACACATTAGTGTGCTTTGAAAGGCATATTAGTGTGTTCTGGAAGGTATAACATTATGCTCTGAAGGGTATAACATATTGTGCTATGCAATAAGGAAAAAAAAAAAAAAAAAAAAAAAAAAAAAAAAACTCTGAAAGACAAAAAAAAATAAAAATATAAAGGTAACTTACTTACACAAAACTACCATAATGCCACTGCAGTTTTTTAAAATAACTTCATTCTGGACCCTTAGCTTGATCTGGACTGGATCATTGGATGAGATTAAACCCTATTTTTCACCTAAGTAAAGCTTTTCACCTTATCAGTAATATATATATATATAT